TTACTTTAATTAAAAGATCGAATAGCATTGTTGTATTAAACTCTCTTTGTAGAGTTAAAACACCAGTAAAATTATTGATTGATAAGTAAGGATCTATAGAAAATAGAAAAAGTTTTGTTTTTTTGTTTTTTTATATGATTTTACTTGATGTTAATATAGAATAAATAACTGTTGCATTAATGCCCAAATCTTGATCATATGCAAATATTCGTCCTTGTGTCGGTATGACTTCCGAACCCTTAGTTTGAAAAAAAAATAATATTTTTTAAAATAAAAATATTTTTTTTCTAAAACATACAGCAGTTGTATTTATTGAAATATTAAGATTATATGATGTGGAGAGAAATGCTGGATTTAATGTATCAACATCAATAATATGTATAGAAAGAATTGCTTGAGAACTAAGTGAAGAATTTGCATCATCCTATAATCAACACAAGTTATATTCAAAAAGTAAAATATGAAATCTTTTACTTGTGCAGAAATTGTTAGATTAAAATTTGGTGTCATCGAATTATAATCAAGTGGTTTAAGTAGAAGTAAACTAGCATTTTTTGGACTTACTAATTGGAAATAAGACTAATATGAAAAAAATAAGTTTTATTTCAAGTTCTTTGTTTTTTAAAAGTTATCTATTTACACTGTACGGAGATGAAGTATTTAATAAATAATATGAAAATAATCCAAATACACCAGAATCTAAATCATATGCGGATATTGTTGTTGATACAATTGTATTAACTGGTGTTGTTTCAGTTATATTTATTTGATATATTGATTGATTAAATATTGGTGGATTATCATTAACATCAATTAAATCAAGTTGAAAATCAATATAACGAGTTGATTGATCAGATAAAACTGTACATTCAACAATAAAACGAAATGGATTTGGATAATTATTTGATGACCACCATTCATAATCAAGAGCTAAGAAGAATTGATATTTTTTCTTCTCTATTTCCTATATATGATCAAGTAAAAACTTACATGAACGTAAATAAAGACTTGTAAAATTTAATGTAAAATAATCTGTTCCATTTGTTTTCACTTCTGAACTATTATAAACTAATCGAGTTGATATTTCTGATGTTGTTCCAGTTATTTGAAGACGAGCAACAAGATCTCCTGTTTTAGTATCTTCGGGCATTGTTATGATTTGAAGTGCAGGAAGAAATTGAAGTGTACATGGTTGACCTTAATTAAATATTTTTTATTCGTTTTTAAGAAACCATTAAAAGGCTTTTTATTTTATTAAAATGTATTTAGAGATTTAATTAAAATATTAAGTCACGCAACTAGTTTCTTATGTCTATTCTAGTCTTCTATTTGCTCATATATTTTATCGTTCTTCATTCATTTTCATAACAATAATCGCATGAATACAAATTAAGCCTAATTCTTATACATATGATATGATTATAGATTCATTCTTTATGTCTAAGTAGACGAAAAACTATACCTTGTGTCTGAGTTATGATAATCGTTAGAAATAAAAGTAGTAGCATAAGACGGATGTCGTTGATGATGAGAGTACTCATCGTTCAAGAAATAAATGATCATCAATTAGAATACCCAATCAATCTAAATCAAAAAAAAAGAAATAGTTAACATATGAATACATTCTTCTTCTTCTTTATTTTTTTTGACTATTTTAATACAATGAATACGATGGATATGCCTATAATAATTTTTCTTTTGACGAATGCCACTCACCTTTATTCTATTGTTTAAAATCATACATATTTATAGTTCAGTCTGCCTTTCTTTTGTCTAAGTTATGTTCATATGATTACGCATATACAGGATGCGACTTTCGTCGCTCCCACCAGCAGTAACAGCAATAGAAGAAAATCGAACTTATTCTCTTTTACTTCTTTACCATCACTTCAAATACAGTGAATCGTTTCAAGTGTGTCTATACTTCATACGTGTGGACGTAATACACCTTTTCTTTTTTCTCTCAGTTTTTTTTTTTCGTGCATGGTATGAATTCTTGAAGGGTAATTTATGTAAACATGAATTATACTGAAAAGTTCAACTACTGATTATTGACTAAAATTGAAAGAGAGAAGAAAGATTCTCTGTAAACAAGATCATGTAAATAAATTTTTTTAACAGAACAACTTATTCTTTTAAAAACTAAATGGATTAATGTTTAGTTGTGTATTCAACTACTTTTTTCAATGTCATATCTTTTTAACTTTACCATCAACATGTTCAATGAAATAAAAAAAGAAAACTATATGATTAACAGAATACATACACGTGCAATTGAAAATCTAATGTTTAAAAAAAAAGAAGAAGAAAGGAAATGAGAAGAAGCAAAAAAAAAACTTGTACAGAGAAAGAGAAAAGAACATTTTTTTTCTCGCACTCTCTCTCTTTCGCGCGCGCGCTCTCTTATTTCTTTCGAAAAGTGGGAGTAATATAACGATAGCAAACATGCAATAGTGTTATCCTCTTCAAAATGAAATCAACCTTGGCAATCTTTTATTCACTTTACGATGAAGGAAATAAATGTATATCTTTATCGAAACATGAATATCGCTTTTTGTCACGTATCTATCTTTTTCTGTTGTTATTGTTATTTTACGATGATCAAATCTATTTCAATGGATAGATAGATATGTAGAAAATGCGTGAAGAAAACTATCAGAAAGTTCAATCATTGAACGTGACAATCAAACGATTAAGAAGTGAAAGTGAAAATGATCAATGTCGCACGTTTAGTTGACTTTTTTATAATGACCGAAACAATTAATTTCAATCGTTAGCTTACATATCACAGGATGTTTGAATATGAATAACAACTGATGATGAAACCTTTCAGGTGTTATGCAAATATTCAAACAGTATAGGTGTGATTTGTTTACCGATGAGTAAATATGGATAAAGATAATGAACAAACTTATATTCATTGAATAAAAAGAAAAAAGATGACATAGATGATTTTAAAATATACAAAAATAACTAAATGATGTAATATCTTTATATCAAAATTAAATATCTTTAATTGAATCGTTTCATTTTATCATTACATTGCCATTCTCTACGCTTCATTTAATTTTATTTGTTGTGACAATTGAACTTTGATAAAATAAAACAATGATAACTGCTACTATTAGAAAATATAATTGGTTGTATATATATATATATACATTTATAAACTCTTTCTCTCTCTCTTACTCTCTCTCTTGTCATTCAATCGAACATGAATAATTTGTCTTACTAGTACTATAAAAATTTATCATTTACGATCAATCTTCAGCCGCGTTGTACTTATCTTAGAAATATATCGTTCAATAATGTGAATCGCATGAGTAATTATTTCGTTTCAAATGGTCATCTTCAAAAGAATATGATCAAATATACAATAAAATAAATTCAATTTTTTTTTCTAATTAATAACTATTTTCAAATTACATCACACATGCATGTATGTCTATATATCTATCTAATGAGCCAATTCAATTACGAATGTACATATCAAAAAAAAGAAATCTGCAGCTCAATGAACAACATACATATAATTTGAATGATGACTTTCTCTTTCAGCAAGATGAAACTTTCTCCTATAAGTATAGTAATTTGGTCATTAGATGTGGTCAGTTACTATTCATCAAAAGCGAAAGATAAAACCAATTTAGATAAAAAAGGAAAAATGATATAGATTACCTAGAAGTTATATTGAATAGAATAACGAAAAAAAGTAATCACCCTAGTGTGGAATTATATAAGATACGTACTATGAACGATAACAAGCTTCTATTTTTTCAGGCTTATAAAACGTAGAATATATATATATATAAGTTTATCTGGTAGTTATATGAATATGTGTATTTTATTCTTGGCTATTATAAAAATTGATGATCATCTATAGAAAAAAAAATAAAAAAAAAAGAACCTGATAATAATTATTCACATAAATACACACATACATACATATTAGCAAAAGGAACACGATTGTTGACATCGCTATAGGCAGGATCTTATTTCTCGAGGACGCCAACCTACCGACTTTTTGTTCATTGATAAAAGAAAAAAACTGGAGAAGGAAGGAGAAAAAATATTGGATGTAATTTGTGTAAATATTGTACGTACATATACATATGTATATGTATATGTAGTAAAACAAGAATCAGTTAAATGATGAAATTTTGTATTTCTCTGGTAATAATGAAAAAATACATCCTATACCATCGAAATAAATTTCTTCTTTCGTTTTTTCTTTCATTCTTTCTTTCTCTCTCTCTCATTTCTTCTCATCATCGCGAGGTGTCAATTGAGATTTAGTTTGGCGTCATTGCTTTTAGTTATTCTATAAGATTGCATCATCAGAATATTACAAGTATTATTCGTATGCTTTGTCGCCTAAATCCATTTGAATTAAAAGGAAGTTCAAGGCTCATTTGCATAAGCTTCTAACCTGAAGAATGATATAGCAAAAGAAAATGAAAGATGACCAGACAATGCAATGAGGCATATTAAATGTCAGTCAATAAATGAACGATAATCGAATTTGTCAAGTATATGTATATAAAAAAAACCTACGCATTTATTTCACCTTTTTTTTTTTCTTCATGTAATATTTGATTATCTTCAATTATTTGTTTCTAACGGAAAACAAAGATAAACACATAACTGATTTTTTGATGTAATTGTAAGATGTCATATTGACGTATGTCATTGATAAAAGAAGAAGATAAATAATAGGTCAATACATGA